CTAAATTTTGATCTCAACAAAAATTTCATCACAGCTTGAAAGAGCATCACAAAATTAGTAATATTCCAAAGTTTCGTTGCGAAATGTTGTAAAATGCGGAAAATATGGCCTTGCGAAGTTTGCAATTTTCAGTCATTTTAGATTACAAATGGGAAATTGACAGCCCGATACGCTTTGAGGCTGTCAATTTCCCGTTTGTAATCTAAAATGACTGAAAATTGCAAACTTCGCAAGGCTATATTATCCGCATTTTACAACATTTCGCAACGAAACTTTGGAATATTACTAATTTTGTGATGCTCTTTCAAACTGTGATAAAATTTTTGTCTAGATTTGTTTAGATCAAAATTTTGTCTATTACGCAAATGGTCAATTGTGGTATGTCAGCTGTGCACTGTCCATTTCAAACAATTTTGTACGTTATATTTTGTCTTCCTGGTGTTTAATATAAACGATGATAACCTTTTAAAAAATCTAGAGCAATATGTCTAACTCTATATGTATAACTGAAACAGTTTTAGAATCAATAGAATGGACATTCAATGTGTATTTGCCTTGTGTCCAAATGTGTCACGTACTTTAAGACCGGCAAGGCGCTAATCCTATGACCTATAAACAGTCGCTTTTGAGACATCTGTTTAACAAAATTTATACCGTGTCCATATTAGAACAATTCATTGGCATATTATAAGCATATTATAAAAATCAGAGCCAGAACAGAAACGCACGCGTGAAATGAAACTACGCCCGAACCGGCGAACCCCGAGAAAATAAAAATATTTCAAAGCGTACAGTCATACGTTCTCGTTGCTTGATTGCCTGAATTTTCTGTTGCTATAAGAATCTGCATTTTAGCGTGTTTGTATAATTTAAAAGCAAACAGAAACCAATTTAGCAAGTAGTTTGAGGTATATATGATTCTCGAAGATGAATTAGATGATTGTACAGAACGGCCACTCCTTGCAATTGAAGTGCGGAAGTGGAAACATGTAATATGAGACTTTTCCAACCCCCTCTTGGGCTATCAATTTTCTATGGGTCACGTGACCAGCTCCGACCAGGGTCTTTGCTTCCCAAGAGCAAAGAGCCTGGGAACGAGGTTGATCAATGCAGGGGGTCAACTAGCCCGATTGCAGGCTACATGTATCTCAAGGATTAAAATGACGGTTGCATAGTTTAAATTTTTGTTTTGTTTTGATTGAAATGCTGCAAAATATGTAACGTAAATAACAAAAAGATGCGCTGTTTTGGGGTGCAGTAACCGCTCTAATAGGGGAAAAAGAGAAGATTTTCTTTCGAGTGCCCAAGAAAAATAAACGTGGAGGAGAAAGAATTCAACAGCTAACAAAACAACGTCGCAAAAGATGGCTTGCTAATCTCTCACTTTTAATGACGAACGGAGCAAAATCATCAAAATATGCACGAGTCTGCATGCAGCGACCACTTTGTTAAAGGTCAGTTTTTTATAAATACAATAAAGCTGTTTACTATAAGCTTTCTTTATCCCTTGATACATTAATTGGTGTTGAGGTAAATCGGCTTGTCATTGTGCATGTTGAGGTCGTTGTGATTGTAAGGATTGTTCTCATTTGATAACTTTGGTTTGACGTAATTGTTTTGATCTCACAGGACGTCCTAGTGACCTCCGCGATGTACAAGATGAAGATTGGGCTCCAACATGAAAATTTGTACACAGCATACAACAACAAATAACGACAAGCAACAATGGCATTTAAACTGTACAACAACAGACAAATGTGGAAAACATACAACAATGAACAACAAAAGATCACCACAGACATTGACATCAAACCACAACAACAATCAACAACAACAACAAACAATTATTCTGGGGAAATTAGACAACAAAAACAACAAGAAAGTGCAGAAATCATGACATTGGTTTTGAGTCCTACTGAGCCTGCCTGAGGCTACTTTGATTCTAACTGGTGAAGTGGTTATCAGTGATCACAAACTTGAGATCAGAACTGTATGAATTGCGATCAAAAGCCCCGTACTAAAAAAAAGAACAGTTTTTTAAAGATAATGAAGAAAGAACAATATAGTATTCAGGCCTTCAAAACTTTCTGGTGTTGATGCAGCAATCCTTCACAAAAATTATGAGACTACCTAGATGAAAGTACGATTTACTCTTCCCTCCCCCCTACAAAGCAATGTTTCTCGTGATCGAGTTGAAATTGTGTAGCACAATGCTTGCAATAACTGTCAACATTGTGGGGGGAAAACAAGCTCCTGATGGTATGAATTTACTGATTTTACAGATAAATATGCGAGTCTTAATATATTTTGTGAAGGATTGTCTTAATAAATCATAAGAGTTGGTTTTGTGAATACTTTCAGATTCTTTGTAAAAATGTTGTATATTGCGTATCATGGGTTGCGTGGTTCGCATAATAAGTTTCGGAACATTTTTCGCACAGAATAGGGTGTGGCTTTTTGTGAGTAACCCATACTCTTATAGATGATGTCACCCACAAAACTCGGGTCTAGCTATTTTGCGGGCCGCGGGCTGCGGGTCAGTTTTTGCGGGCTGCGGGTCAGTTTTTGCGGGCTGCGGGTTAAAACAATTGCGGGCCGCGGGCCAAATTGCTGGCCTAACTAATTTTTTGTTGCATGCCATATATGGCATGCAACTTTCATATAGCTCTAAATTTCGTGTCGCGGTGAGCGGCGGTGAGCGTACCGGTCACGTGGAAATTCGTAAAATACGACAAATACCGAGTTTTTCCGACAAGCTCGAGGAAGGGGAAAGAAAAATGTTTGAGTATTCGCGGAAAATTTACATAATTGAGCGCCTTTAAAAATAGATCAAGGTAGATAAAGCTTTGCTGGTTTTAATTTTCCTTATATTCTGTTATTTGTTGTGATTCTGGAGCAGTTGTGCTCGCAATAAAATATTAATCATAAAATGAATGATTATTTATCAGTCGTTTTTAATATTTATATCGTGAAGCCTGGCCAGCTACGCTATCAAAATACTCAATTTTTTATATATGCTCAATATATACTATATTGTCCAAGTGTGAAAAACTTCAAAACTACAGTACATTTTGTAAATAACATGAAATATATTAAAATATCAAACAAAATTCTCATTATACTATTGAAATTTAATACAACAAAATAGTATTCTACGTCGATAATTTCAATCATAGTTTAATAATTATTTTCAATCTATAGTAATTCGCCGTTTCCATGTTTTTTTTTATACTTTCGATAAAGCTACAATAAAGCTAAATTTGTAGGAAATAACATTATTTAGTTATAAAATAGTATAAAAGGAAATATAACAGTCAATCGCTTTGGATAAAACCTTGACCTTGTTTATATTACCGTCGTTTGCAACTAACGATGAACAGTCGCTCATAAAAACATTGCCTATTCGCGTGAGAATCTTAAGTTTTCTTATTTTGACATAATAGCTATTTTTCAATAAATATATTGATATTAAACTTATTGAATCAATATTTTAAGTTTCAGGCCAGTTGTACCAAAAGTTATAAGCGGTGGCGCATTATAACCAGGGCACAGAAAGGGTCATACAGAAGCCCAATTTCTTGGTTTTTCCTATGATTTTCCAATGATTTTGGCGGTTAGCACTTTTTTCCATCCAGCAAACCGCCCTATCGATTTTCTAAAGTCGTTTTTTTTCCATTTTTTTATTAATTCGATTAGGGTTAGAGTTAGGGTTGGGGTTAGGGTTAGGGGTTAGAGTAGGGACTAGGTGTAGGGTTTGTGTTAGTTACATAGCCATTTAAAGGCCGCTTTCCACTTCAACCGTATCGTACACGCGTAAAAACGCTCAGGTTGATGCAATACTGATGAAAACAGGACTGAACAATGTTTTGCTGCCCACATTGTTCATAGCTGTCAACAATATTGAACAATATTCAGACTCAACAATAGTGTTCAATATTGTTGAGAAGTGTGAACAATGTTGGCAGCAAAACATTGTTCAATCCTGTTGAGCAGCGGGCTCGGCGTTTTTTGCCGTGTACCGAAACGTAGCGTATTTCTTTGTTTCCTGAGCGCTAGAGTGGAACTAATGATTTCAACACAAAAGAAAATGCTACGATACGGTCGAATTGGAAAACAGGTTTAACACCTCTTCTCTCTTCCGAAAATGACGTCAGGTCAGTTTGCTGGATGGAAAATAGTGCTACTATTAGGATTGGTGTACAGTTATCCCGGTCGAAACAGGTTTTAATGTCTGGTACGACTCATAAACTGAGATTCCATGATATTAAAAAAAGAATGAATTTAAGGAAAAATTCGTATGCATATGATTACGAATAACATTAGACATAGAATATACTTCAAAGACAGAAAATTTTGAATAATATTGTTATTTTCTTTACATTTTGACAATATTTTTTTTAAAATTCGTCAGGCTCGCAACTAGACCCGCGGCTTGCAATCGTGTTAGCATTCTGCCCGCAGCCCGCCTTTTCTGCCCGCAGCCCGCATTTTCGGCCCGCAGCCCGCAATTTTTGGCCCGCAACCCGCATTTTTTGGCCCGCAGCCCGCAGTTTCAGCCCACAGCCCGCATTTTTCGGCCCGCAGCCCGCAACCCGCAGAATAGTTAAACTCACAAAACTCTTGTGTTTCGCGAAATTGTAAACTCATCACACATGCTGCTAACTTTATTTTGTTAATTACCTATTTTTGTTTATCATTGTTTATCTAGGAGATAGTCAAAGTAGGTGGGGGAGGGGTGATAAAAAGGAAGGTGGTGGTTTAAGGGATGTAGTCATAAAAACTACATGGCATTAGAAAGAAAGGTTCACCGTTTCTATGCGTATTATATATTTCTGATAATATAATATTAGACACTTATATAAAACTTTCGATAAAGAGCTTAGGAATTTTTAAATCAAATGAGACAGGGAACTTAAAAAAATGAAGCCTGCACTGGCGCTTCACTTCACTGGCGCTACCTTCACCGAGATGGAAAGAAAACGTGGAAAGAGATAGCAAATATGAAAGACTATAACAAGTATTCCAAGGCTACTATTTGCAGTCACATGAAACGAAAAATCGACGACTCTGTTATCGACGAAAGAAAACAAAACAAAGGCCGCCCTCACAAGCTAACAAAACGAGACAAACGCAACATATTGCGACATGTCGAGATACTATTGTACGAAGGGATTATGGGTATTTTACAACAAAACGACTCGAAGTTTTTGCTGGCGTACCGACAGATGTTTCAGATGAGACAGTTCGACGCGTTCTTAGAGCCAACGGATTCAAATACATTCATTCGCGTAAAAAGAGGGTGCTTAGCAGAAGGATTTGACAGTTAGGCTCAAGTTGGCAAAGCAAGTTCGCAGCAGATTAAATCAAAATGTGTGGACAAGAAACATGTCGTTTTATTTTGATGGAGTTGGCTTCATTCACAAATATAACCCTCACGATCAGTCGTTGGCACCGAGAACGATGGCCTGGCGGAAACCCTCAGATGGTATTAGCCATAATCAAACGTCAAAAGGATCGCACGAAGGCAATGGGGGAAGAACAGCATTTTTTTTTTGTTGCGATAGCGCATAATAAAGGAGTTATTCTGGCTGAACAATACAAAGGAATAAAAAGTTGCAGATTTTGTCCGAGAACAATTTCCGACTCCCTTTGAAAACAGCTGCAAGTTCGCAGCTGTTTTCTTGTCATGTCTTGGTGCTCGTTTGGTACAGACGTGTGTTTGGATGCTCCGCCATTTAGATATAAAGTAAGATGCAAAACCAAAGCCTCGTACATGACTTATCAATTAACGACAAAAATAAGTTGGTTTGGACAGGTTCTTTCGAAGCCTTACAGCAATTTTTTCAAGAAGTGCTAGAATTGAATGCTAGAAAATGGTCCTCTCCTGGCGCCGACGCGAAGCTATTCGAAGCCGAAGAGAAAGATACAACAATCAAGTGGTATGCAAAATCCCAAACTATTACTGTTAACGGGGTAAATGGAGCAGAAATTGAAGGCAAATTAAAGTCTGTAGCATCGATGACGAAGAGTCTAGCCGATGCAAAATGTTTTGGAAGTGAAACAGACGTTCAATCCCTTGAGACCACTTTGGAGATTCTCAATGGCAAGCTTCAAACTTTGAGGGATGAAGTTAGTTCTAAAATGGCTTCTGTCACTGATATATTATTAGCTCACTCTAAAGAGTTGAGTGAACTAAAACATCTGGACTCTGATACTGAATTGGCGTGGCTTAGAAAGGAAAATTCCAGACTCAAAAACGAGAATGAATGATAACTGAACGCGTAAACAACTTAAGCTGTGTACTGGCAGACTTACAAGACAAAGCTGTACGCGCTGAGGAAGAGAAAGCCAGTCTAATAACAAGCATCCGGTTATTGTATAAGGACGTAGGATGCACTCAACTATCAAATGCAAATGAAGCTATCACTGCAGTAGATAACCCCCCCCCCCCCC